CCCCAAAACCCCAAAACCCCAAAACCCCATAATTATTAAATTCTATAAATTAGATTGAACTTCTAAAGTTTTAAAACTTTTATTTGATTTTGATTAATGTTATGCTAGCATTTATAATGTTAGAAAGATAATCCATCAAAAGGGATAAATCTGCAAATGCCTAAATTCATCATTGATCTGGAAGTGAGTAATTCTTTACTGATTCATATGCGTCGGCATAATCTCTTTAGAGAAGCTCTATATCATCACTATAAGAGAAGACTATTCCTCCTTCCTTTTTCCTATCATCAACTGTAGTGCTTTGAAGGATCCTTTAGGTATCTTCAATTTAAATTGGATTTAAGGAGTCATCCATTAAACCGTCTGTTTTAATAGCTAGATGATTAATTTATTATTTATGAAAACTGTCTAGTGTAAGGGAAAACTAACTAATTTCACTGCTTTAAACATTTGTTGCAAATCTTGTTTAGAAATCTTAATTTACTATTCTCTTTGAAATCTTGTCATACAACTGCTTATTAGTCTTAAATGGTTGAATATTTTTTTCTTAATTTTTCTTTACTTCACCTCTCTAACTCTAAAATTACTTTTATCTTTACTTTGCTCCAATATCTTTTAGCATTTTAGCCATTAAATCCATTGTTTATTGCAATGTCTAGACCTTAAATTCCATGTTATCATGTTAACTGTGATTTTCTTGAAAATGCCCTTTTATCCTTTTTAGTTGACTAGACATATCTTTTAGTTGTCTGGTTTAGATGTCTTCAAGAACATCTTTTTTGCTTCTTCTTGGAGGTATTATCTATATCTTAATGACTTTGGTATCTACTTTTAGGTCGCTTAAAGCTAATTTTGAAGTTGATACTGGAGTTGATTGACTTAATTGTAATGGAATTTTATCCTGCTTTAGCACCTAAAGTGGAGTATCAGGACTTGGCTAAACTTTTGAAAAAGGAGATTTCCTTTAATTAGCTGGACTTATGATTTTTTTCCTCAATACTAAGTCGCTTGAGTTTAAGGATGAGGTGGAAGACTTAAAACTGCTGATATTTGATCTGGAGGTATTCTTAATTTCTGGACTGGAATGGACATTTTCATCAGTCATCATTTTTTCGACTTAAAGATTGAATTTCTCTTCTTAAATCTCTTAAAGTGACTTTCTCTTTTAATTTGGCTCTTCCACCTAATCATTTAGTTCAACTGATTATTTTTCAATCAATTGAGAATCTTCATTATCATCCTTTTTAATTGTACTCCCACCGCTAAAGAAATAAACATCTTAATTTTCATTTATCAAATGAGGGGACATGCTTCCTGAAAAGAATTATGTTTCAGTAGTAGGTAGATTTATAGTTTCAAGGTTATTAAAGTTCAGATAAGGGTTCAGGTATTATTTTGATTAGTTCATCTCATATGCTAGTTCTTATTATTGATTATCTTCCATTTAGTTGTTATCTTCTATTATATTTATGTATGGTAATGATCCTTGGAATCCACTCCTCAATGAATTAGATGTCTTAATTGAATCATTATCCACTTCGTCCTAGAGTCTTTCTTAGTCATTGTTATTGTAATCATTTTCAAATTAATTTTCACTATCTGGTGACTTGTCTTTTTCCTAAATTGAGCTCCCACTAGTATCACTTCTAAGACTAGAGGTAGATTCAAACTCATCCTCTTCTATTTTATCATGTTCTATTAATTATCTGCCTTTTTATTCACTAAATTACTATTATTTATTTTCTTCGTTAGTCCTCCGAGAATTTTAATTTTTACTAATTTTGCTCTTTGAAGACTTACTGTTACTACTCTCACTGTTACTACTCTCACTGCTACTACTACTGCTAGAACTGCTTGAACTATTACTTTATACATCACTATCACTTTGGAAACTACTTTGATCATCTCTCTCTTCCTTACTCTTACTATTCCTTTTTTTCATTTTACGAGAGGAATCATAATCAGACGATTTTTCCTCTACGCTCTTTAAAGTGCCAATGGCCCTTAACTTTTTCTCTTGTTTCTTGTGTTTCTAAAATAAGTCATTAAATCTTTCAAAATGCTCATTTTTCTTGCTACTCTTGCTCTTGACACTGCCCCCGCTTTTTCTTTTCTCAGATTTATGAGATTTTTAGCTCTTTATTTCTTTTTTACTCTCTTCACTTGAACTCTCTTTTTTATCTCCCCAAATGTTATATTCTCCACTTGATGATGATGCTTTATCATCTTTTTCCTCCTCTACTTATTTATCTGAGTTCTAGACTTGCTTCCAACTTTTTTTGGATGGTTCTGACATTGTTAAACTTTTGTGAGCCTCATCAAATGATTATGCTACTTTTTTCATAGCGTTCATCTTAAAATGATCCCTTCTTTTTTTTGAGGTAGTATTTATTGAAGTTAATGAATTTCGCTTTTATCTTGGAGCCAAAAGCAATGCATCTTAAATGCCTATTGATTCTAGAACTACTTTAGCCTTCTCCAATGTTTATTTAATCTTGGCTTCTCTTAACAAGGCTAGCTCCCTAAGTTATTTTTCAATCTCAGGAAAATCATTGTATATTGTTGTTTGATAGTATTTCTTATTTAAGGTGAATAAGTCACAGTGCTATTATGCTTTTGCAGTACAAATTCTCTTTTTCTGGAATATGATTTCAATTTCTCCAAAATATGCCCCTGAGGGCCAGGATTTGAAGACACACTCGCCAATCTCCATGATAAGATCAACTCTTCCCTCTACAATGAAGTAAATTTCATAAGGATGATCATCCAACATATAGATATAATCATTAGCTAGAACTCTAAGAGGCTAGAGTAAGGGGACGATATTACCAATGAAGGATTAATCCTTATTTTGGAAAAAAGGAAGTTACCCTATTTTACCATTATGAATTTGCATTGCAATCTCACATTTAAGATTAGGAGGTAGTTCATTTAATATTGAATAGTTCTCAATGTAAGAGAAGGCATTTCTATTAGAATGATATTCAAGTGCCTCTTTGATTCTTCTCTTAAGCTCCAAACTGATGACAGCCTCTACACAAAATTCCTCAATAACCTCCAATTTGCTTTTTAATTGAGAAGTTCTGCTATCAATCTTACCAAGGATAGCTGTAAGTAAACCAATAGTGAATGAATAAAAGATAACTCCTATCATCATCCAGGCAACTGATATTAATCTTTCGGAATTTGTTTCAGCATGGATATCTCCATACCCAACTGTTAGTACCGTCGAAACAGACCAATAGATTGATATTAGATACTTTCGTTCGTATGAGTCATCTATAGCATTAGCTCTAACTAGCCATGTATCAGGTTCAAAGTCATTTATTTTAGAAGTTAAATACCAAAAGCAAGCTGATACATGTATGCAGATGCATCCACCAAGAGCGAAAGTTAAGAGTCTCAAGACGCCTGCATTTAGTTGAACAAATTCTGAAAATTTTACTAGCATTGTATTTTTCTTGAATTAGCCAAACACTTTTGAAAGCTTTGTGATCTTAACTAAAACGTATAGTCTAGGCAAGCGAAACAATCTTAGAATCTAATTAAAATTTGTAGCTACTTTATTGTTCAACTTATTTGATCTATTCTCTAATAAAGTTACTGGAAAGCATGCTAGTAAATCCCAAAAAAACCATCCTTTCATATAAATCATAAATATTCTTTTATTATTTGTGACTAATCGGCCGTCATCATCATAAAATGCGCTAAATGAATTCACGAATACATCAAGTAAGAAAGTAAAGTCCGCAATTATATCAATTATCCACCAAGGATCCCCATGATTATATTCAAGAAATGATATTTTAAAGGGCATCAGAGTCCCTGAATAAAGTAAAAATAATATCATCATAAATGACCAAAATCTCTTAAACCTAGACTCAGGATGAAAGTATGGCTTAATTCTAGATTTAGCTGGACCTTCTTTATTCTCCTTGAGCACTGCTGTAGTTTTAGTAATCAAATTTTCATTTTATGTTATTTAAAATTTCTATCTAAACTCATAATTATGAGTTCCGTAAAGTTGTATATCATTTTGAATCTGCTTCCAAATATTAATTGCTCGAAGCACTGATTTGGCTTTTCTCCAAAGTTACTAAGCTCTTTTTTTCCTTTATTCTTGCAACTCCTAGTCCCTCAAAATCTGGCTTTATCTGCTAGGCTTCTACTCTTTTATTTCTTCTAATTTTTATTCAACTACTTTCTTGAATGGGTTCAAACTTTTAACAACCTCGAAGAAGGACATTTTATTTCTCCTTAGCATTGGAGTCATAGGCACCTAATCAGAAATTTTTCCAAAGGCATCTGACCTAGTTATCAAATAATTATTTGTTAGCAGATTATCACCTTCTGTTGTACTGAATTATGAACTGAATTATGTCCTATGTTTTCCAATTTCTCATTATTTTTATTATTAAACAGCTACTTTGACTGCAAACTAAAATTTCATTATGGTTTCTCTTCTTTTATTAATAGCCTATGATTAAGTTTAGAGCAACTTTCTTCTTGTTCCTGGAGTGAGTGCTCCGCTATGAGGTGAGTTTCCATTGCTATTTGTGTTTTAGGATTTCGAAGGATTTATTTTTAAATTATCAATAAAGTCGGAGCTGGCTACATTAGTGGTTTATTACATTAATGAAGGCTGAGTCTCTAAGGGAGCAAGATTTTTTAACGCTGATTTCCTTTATGCAAGTAGAGAGATTTTATTGCCTGTTTCTTGATGTTTGAGCTCAATGATTAATGGAACAGAAGGTTTCTCATTAATTTATTTTTAGAGTCCTTTTATTACTAGTGGGCTAGAGAGGTTCTATTCCTATTACTCCTCATTATTATTTATTAATTAAAAAGGCTTGACATTAGCCTACGGTTACATATCAGATTTAAATGTTGAACCCCTACTTTACTCATTTTAGTTGTTTGAATTCTACTTCTCAAGTTATTCTGGCGATTTGTTGTTAATACTTCCTTCTCTGTCTTAAATTTCATTTCTAAAATCGATATCAGTCTTCGGAGACAACTAAATTCGATTTAAATTTTCGAAGATCCTGTCATGTTTGCTTGATTTAATTGAACTTTATTGATTTAGCTTAAACTAAAGAATAGATGAAGTGGAATTTAATATAGAATTCCTTTTTGCCTATCGAAGGTTATAATTAATGCTTTTATCTCTTCCAATCGACATTTTACACAATAAAATACTGAATTATTATTAATATACGCACTCTCAAACTACACTTCCAAAATTTTTCAATCATTGCTTTAAGGGGTTTTGGGGTTTTGGGGTTTTGGGG